GTTTGCAGACTCGCATGCCATCACATAACTGCTCTCTTCATGTGAAGGTGAATGTTTGGAAGCAGGGTGGGAGAAGTTGTTGCTGGTTCGGTTAGTATTTCATTGTGGTGCTATAAACAATGAACATTTTGACATTTATAACTTTATATAGACAGATATAAATAAATATCTTTACAATTGAGGATGCGACATTTAGATGTGCTGTCCCATGACCACCAGCAGACACGCAGATGAGTACACTGCAGCGTAGATGGCGAGTAGATAATGGTAGCAACATTCATGCGTCAAGGACAACTTCAAATATAATCCATCTTTCAATTGAATTATTGAATGCCAACATGTGCGTATGCATCATTCATTTATTGTTACATCCCCGCTCTGACAAGTGATTTCCGGTTTGAGAAGGGGTGTAGGTTGTAGGGAGCACAGGCAGTTTGTAGCATGCGAGCGTGATAAGTCACGTGAGTGTGAATACCTCGGAGTCCATGAAAGACATCAGTGAATTGAGAATAAAAATATGTTTGTGCGTAAATGAATATGCATATCAAATTCAGTAATTCGTGTAAGCGCATGTGTAAGTACTGCTAAATTCACATATGTGTTGATGTGTATATATACAATGCGTACTGAGCATACATGCATTCATAGGAAACGTTGATGTACGTTAACAAGTCAGTTAAGAGGCCTCATCCCACGGATTCGACAGCATGAACCAGACAGATCCATGCAAACACGTGCATGAACTACGTTTTAACGCACAAGTTTATATTTGGCAAAGAGAAAAATATTTAATGCGCTTTAAAGAGAAATTATTTATTCAATGTACAAACAGACACATGCAGACGTACGTGCGTTAACGAATTTCCGCCCTTCTAAAATCAAATTCAACGAGTACATCATTTCAAAACTGATTAAAAATTCATTTTTCCATCATTCACGTGGGCACGCCACATCCCAGCCCAACACATCTCAACACGTCTCACACACATCGCTGCATATCAGCGTTGAAAGATGCGACTGATTTCATTCGTTTGTTCATAACGTAAAATAAATGTACAACAAATATCAAAATAAAAGTCCGTATTGGCAGTTCGACTCAATTAAATTAATAATCAATTCAATATATTTTCATAATCCATCCAGACTTTACCAGGTCTTCAACAACAAAACAAAATTTATTTTGTCATAACTTTTGCCGAAATGTGATTGTATCAAAAATTTAATGATTGAAATTTTAAATGAAACATGTTACGAGAAAACGTAAAGCCTGTAGCTCCATCTAATCCCAATCTAACTGCAGTTGGATTATTCCATTTTTTTATGAAGTTTCAACACAAAAATTTGGCAAGTGAAATGCTACTGAAGTGATTGGTTTATATGATAATATTAATAACGTTTAAATGTTTGTTTGGATGTTTGTATGGATGTTTGTATAGTTGTTTGTATGGATGTTTGTATAGTTGTTTGTATGGATGTTTGTATAGTTGTTTGTATGGATGTTTGTATAGTTGTTTGTATGGATGTTTGTATAGTTGTTTGTATGGATGTTTGTATAGTTGTTTGTATGGATGTTTGTATAGTTGTTTGTATGGATGTTTGTATAGTTGTATGTATGGATGTTTGTATAGTTGTTTGTATGGATGTTTGATAATAAGGTGCGTTAACATCAACGGGTTGGATGTTGAAATAAGAATGAAACAATGCCACGTGTCGTTCGTCATTCGTCATCATGTGCGATTCAGTTATTCATCAATGATGCCCATCTCCATATATATTAACTTGTAAATAATAGATTTTTGCATGTTGGTGATTGCAATTTGTAATTAGACACACACACCACACACACACACACACACACACACACACACACACACACACACACACATACATACACACACACACACACACAGAGAGAGAGAGAGAGAGAGAGAGAGAGAGAGAGAGAGAGAGAGAGAGAGCTGCATAGATATGATCATGCACATAGATGTGTTTACGAATGTAGCGCTGAGAAATGGCGTGGAAGTGAGCCATCATAATGCGTAGGCATGGTAAATAATTAAGAGTCGTACGCACGGCATGTTTACGAGTTAATTATATTTGATAGAGCTCAATTGATGAATGAGACGACAAACAACTACATATGTTGGTGTGTTTGTGCGTGTGTGTGTTTGTGTTTGTTTGTGCATGTGTGTGTGTATGTGTTTGTTTGTGTGTGTGTGTGTGTGTTTGTTGCCAAGTGATTTAAGACAGCACTTTATTGTAGCGAATTGCATTAGTCGAGAGATCTGGAACAATGGCGCGGATTGGTGTGAGAGTGCACGGAGTGTTGTGTAATGTACATTCATGATACGTTACGTACAACAGTGATCCCGCTCTTAAAACTTATTGATTGAGGGAGGTAAATGATTTTTAAAAAAAAAAACCAACCAATGGGCAAATAAAAATATACAAAGTAAAGAAACAGAAAAGAGCAAAATTAAAAAACAAATCTAAACTAATATAAATCAAATTAACTTCATTTGTCAACAACCAACCACTCAAATGCCTACATTAGTAGTAGTAGTAGTAATAGAAGTAGTAGTAGTAGTAGTAGTAGTAGTAGTAGTAGTAGTAGTAGTAGTAGTAGTATTACTAGTAGTAGTAGAAATAGTATTAGTAGTAGTAGTAGTAGTAGTAGTAGTAGTAGTAGTAGTAACAGAAGTA